CGCACCGCATGTCCCCGCAATCGCTCCGCCATTCGCCGCAGCAGCCCACGCGCCCGCTCCAGTCCCCGCACTCGGTTGATCCGCCGCAGCAGCCGCACCTTGCCCCATCCATCGCTTCCCCGCAAGACCACGTCCCCATGCAGGCCCAGCCGCAGCATCAGCGCCTCACCCATCTCGCCGCCCAGTCTTCCACCCAAGCTCTACAGCACGACCAGCACCACCAAGCACAGGCCGCCCAGCATCGCGCTCAAGTTCATGCCGCCCAGCAAGCCCAGGCCCAGGCCCAGGCCCAGGCCCAGGCCCAGGCCCAGGCTCAAGCTCAAGCTCAAGCTCAAGCTCAGGCTCAAGCTCAAGCTCATGCCCATGCACAAGCACAAGCACAAGCACAAGCACAAGCACAAGCACAAGCACAAGCGCAGGCTCAAGCTCAAGCTCAAGCACAGGCACAGGCCCAGGCCCAGGCCCAGGCACAGGCACAGGCACAAGCGCAGGCCCAGGCACAGGCAAGTCAGCAGCAGGGTTTGCAGAGAGGCATCCAGCCGCAACCCTCGGCCACCCACCCGCAGCACGCCCAGCCGCAGCCGCAGCCGCAGCAGCCCGTGCCGCCACATCCGCACCATTATCACCAGGGACATCAACGGAGGCAGACCTTGGCCGAGCATGAGCAGGCCGTCAATAGGGCTATGTACGAGAATCCGGCCTCATACCAGATGTCTGCGTCACAGCAACAGGCCTACTATCATCAGTATTCCAATTCACAGACGCACCCGCAACAGCAGCAGCCGCTCGCCCCGCAACACCCGCAGATGTACGCCTCCAACCCGCTCCCACCGCCAGAGTATCAGAGGCAGCAGCAGGCTTCCATGGGCGTCCCACATGACTCCCAGCAGCCTCAGGGCTTGTCCCAGCATCAGCGCATCCCGGCTAGCCACCAAATGCATCACCAGGCCGCCCACCAGCAACATATGCAGCATTTAGGCAGACCCGCGCAAAAGGCAATCACCCCGTTGCAGCCGCAGCCGCTCTCCATGATGCCCATGTCGTCGCAGCAACATCAGATGCAGCAGGCGCAGCAGCCACCGGTGGATCAAGCGCAAAACCAAGCCCATTCTCAAGCTCAGCAGCAGCAGCAGCAGCAGCAGCAACAGCAACAGCAGCCGCATGAAATGGCTCCACCGCAGCCAGGTATGCAGCAGCAGCAGGCGATGCAACCAGGTGGCCAGCTGTTGCAATCGATCTCCGATCGCCGTCCTGCCGCAAGTCAGATGCATCCGCAACAGCAGTCGCCGATGCACCTCGTGTCGGCTGGACAGCAAACTTCCATACAACACCCGTCTCATCACATGCAGCGACAGGTGCTTACGGGACAAGCCATCCCTTCGCAAGAGGCCAGTGTCCATCAGGTGCAGCAGGTTTCGATGACGCAACAACCAAACCATGCCCACACTCCGCAGCAGGCGCATGTGTCGAGCCAAGGGCCTTCTCAAGGAACGCCGCCGCAGGCCTCGTCCCAAAAGCATGCGCAGCAAATGGCGCAGCAGGGGCACGGACAAAATCATCGCATACAGCAGGGTACAGAACAATCTCAGCAGGATGCGGCAGCCAGTCAGGCGCAAGGTGGACAGCGGTCAATGGGATCCCGAGCGGATGCTCTCGGTGTGAGCGGAATGGCGGACGGTGATCGGCCCGCCGCCTCCAGACAAGGACAAGAAGGTACGGACCAAGGTTGCCGTCAATTAAAAGTGGAAGACGCTCTCGCGTATCTGGAACAGGTGAAGCAACAGTTCACCTCTCACCCCGATGTGTACAACCAATTCTTGGATATCATGAAGGAGTTCAAGGCCCAATCGATTGACACCGCAGAGGTTATTCGGAGGGTGAGCACGTTGTTCGAAGGAAGAAGAAGACTTATACTAGGGTTTAATACCTTTCTACCACCGGGGTTCAAGATTGAGTTGCGCGGGGATCCCACAACTGGTTGTGTGACAGGGTTTTCTTCTCCTGGTGGAGTATTTTGTGCTTTACGCGAAGAGGGGCCTCAGCGACAGACGGAACTGCAGCCAGCACCTCCACCTCCACCCCCTCCTCTCCCCATAGATGCTTCGACACAACACGCCGTCGCGCATCAGGATCAACGAGGCCATTCTGCTCATGGCGGGCCGATGCACGGACAAAGCCGCATGCGGAGACCCGATGGAATGTATGAGAGAGGAGGAGCATACATAGATCCCATGCATGAAACGGACGAGAAACTTCCTCCCGGGAACATTGGACCATCGCTCGCGACCTCTCGTCAGCATGGTGTTGGCGGGGAGGGCAGTGGAGGCGCCGCCGCACCAGGATCCGCCACAAACGACAACGCCGCGGCAGCATTGGCGGGAGGACTGGGGTCGCCTGGAACAGGGGAGGCCGCGTCTGGAAAGCCCATTGAGTTTGCCCAAGCTGTCACTTATGTCAACAAGATCAAGAGTCGCTTCGCGGATGAGGAGCACATGTACAAAACATTTCTCGACATTCTTCAAACGTACCAGAAGGAACAAAAGACGACCAAAGATGTGTATAAGCAAGTTTCGGAATTGTTTCGGGATCACAGTGATCTGTTAGGAGAGTTTTCACACTTCCTACCGGAACAGCCTAACCAGCGTGGTTCTGGCCTGAAACTCACCACTGAGACCGTACGGTTCAAATCTCAAGGGTCTCCTGTCATCAAGGAGCAACCGACTCTGGAAGCCGTTATTCAGGAGCAACAACCCCCGGGTTCCTATTCCGCAACAAACTGGAAGGAGAAGGAGAAGACCACAAAAGGGGTCAGCAGAAGTAAGTCCGGGAAGAGTGCTTCAAGTGCTGGTGCAGCCGCTACAGGACTGAGCAAACATGCTGCCAGCGCACCTCGCCGTGGATCAAGCGCATTGGAAACATCGAAAAAGGGCAGGCGCCATTCATCAAGCAAGAAACTTGCAGATGTTAAAGCCACTGGTGCTGGAGATTTATCTGCGAGCGGATCGGGCCTTTTGTCCAAGTCGTCGTGCCCGCCAGAACTGGAATTCTTTGAAGAATTGAGGAATCTTCTTGGCGATGGCGGCCAGCAAAGTTATTCCGAGTTTATCAAATGCCTGTCGCTGTTCTCTCAAGAAATCATTTGTGGGGATGAACTCATGCGTCTTGCAGATGGACTTTTAAATCACCGCAAGCCCTTAACGGAAGCGTTTCGGGCTTTTCTGAATCAAGAAGACCCGAAGGCTACTCAAACGGCTGTCACAATTCTGAGACGCGCAAGAAATGCAGGTGATGCCGTTGCTGCCTCATTTGGTTCCAAGGCCCCTCCAGTCGCGCCAATTGCCAGCTCATCGGCAGTGAGGGATCGCCTCCGTGACCTCCCAGTTCTAGCCGGTATTCATGTCGAGGGTCACAGGCATACATCTACGAGCGGAATCAAGTCTCCAAAAATCAACCCGCTCTACAAAGGGCGTCCGCTGTCCGAAATTGGGCGCGAACACGGGACCGAAATCTCAGACTCCAAGTCATACATATCACTGCCAACCGATTTGGGAACCATCCATTCGTCTGGAATGACTCCGGATGATCGAAGCGTCTTAAACCACACATACGTGACCCGCCCTAGAGAGGGACCGCAATCGTTGCTTGGGAGCATTGCAGCGAAGCGTGAGTACCAGTACACTTTAACCAGTGATCACCGCCTAGGCGGAGGAAAAAATGTACCGCCAGCAAGTACTGCGATTCCTAGTAGTCCGGGGGCGCCTTCAAGTCCGCGCACGGTACGAAATGGTTTCAACAAAGCAGCCGTTGCAGGAGTAGAAGACCAAAGAGTTGATCTTAATCTACTTATCTCACGGGCGGAGAACACGGTTTCAAAACTTGAACGCCTGATGAAAGGAGAAATTCGAAATATCTCTTCTCTCTCTGCCGTCGATGTTCAGCCTGTTGAACTCATCTACCGAGATTCGTCGATTGATATCATTGAAGTGTTACGCTCAACTCCGGGAGTCACTGCACCCGTTGTTCTTGTAAGGCTGAAGCAGCGACTAACCGACTGGAAAGCCTCCCAAAAAAGAGTAGAACAAGTGTGGAAGGCGAAGCGATTTTCTTCGGAAGGTCCAGGAGGCGGTCCGCGTACTTGGCATCGCTCCGAACTTGTAGGGGAATTACTACAAAAGTCGTCATCAAATAATGCACATCACGGGGTTACAAATGGCGGTTGCGAAGCACTAATCAACAGAACAAGGTCCCCAAAGATACTAAGGAGTTCCGTCGTCTGCGATTTAGTATGCAGCCCAGAAAATATCGACTATACATGCGACCTGCTGTGGTTCATGTTTGAATGGGAAGCAGACTCATTCCAACAGGCTGAGAAAGCGCTTGATGCCGTTGAGCAGGTATATGAAAAAGTGCAATATGCCAAAAGCAGCGGCGAAGTTCTCTATGCTGATGAATACCTGTACGTATACATTCGGCTGCTCGCAGAAACTTCTCAGCGAGTCGGTTATATTCTCGAACATAACTACGATGGTGTTGTTGTGGACAGTATGATGCACAAATTGCAGGAAGTTCTTAGCGGAAACATGTCTTTGACGGCTTACGACAAACACTGCAAGCAACTATTTGGGGAAGGTCGACGATGGGAGACGCTTCTATCCGACTTTCCAGTTATTTTGAAGCGGCTTTGCGCAGCTGCTTTGAAAATGCCCTCCAGGAAAATTGCAAGTGAACTTCTCCACTTGGCTGGAGACTCACTTCGGAACAAGAATGGTACGCCAGACAATATGAATGATGCCGCGATGGAAATTGACACCGATGGCGGCGAAGTTAAGAATGTGACAAGGTCTTCGATGAATGGTGAAAAGGCAAATTTGGAGAGCCGTGCCAAGCGACTGCGAAAGGCGTTGGTAATCACTTCGTCCAAGGGGCATGATTTGTTTGAAATCAAGGTGTCAAAAGAGCATTTAGCAACGAACGGTGAGTTGGTAGAAGCAAGACAGTCCAAGAAACCGGGGGAGCTTGGACTCGTTGTTGTCTTCCGTCACTTGCCAAGAGAAACGGCTGCTCAATACACACATTTCGACCTGGACGAAAAGAAAGTTGCAGGTGGCTTAGTCAGCACACGCTTGATGGGTCAGATCAATCGGGCAAAGAAGAAGGAGAGGAAATGGCGATGTCGGAAACGGACGGCAGATGGCGTGATGAAGGGCGTTGTACAAGAAAATGGACTTGGTGTGTGCATAAACGGTGAGGACGGACAGCTTCACTTTTTGTCCGGGACAGAGGACTTTTTCATGAGAAAGCGGCGAAAACGCAGTTCCTGGGACGGCGGAAAACGGATGCCAATCGTGGGATGAAGTTTGTGAAGAAGAGCCAATAAGTTTGTGTACAGCTAGTGATAATCTGTGGTGAAGAACACATATGTAGGATATCTGATAAACTGTTGCTCTTGTAAGTCTGCAGTGATAAGTGTCAGCGTTTTTGTTTTCCAAGCTAAGGATTGTGTTTATTTGCGATTCTCAATGGTGTTTTAAATTGTTGAAGCCTTTGTTGAAAATCGCTAAAGACATCCGTCGCCTGTTTGTTTCTAGGGACCACCTCGTGAGGACAACTAGGCTGGATAAACTACTACCTAATGAGGAATCGCGGATGACCGGAACCTGGACAATGCGTAGGACGATTTAGTTTTCAGTACCATCTCTGAAGACCAAGTTAGTCGACGAGCAGTATAGAATTTGTCTCTGTACAAAGCTATGTAATAAGAACAGTTGTGTAAGCCCTCCTGAGTTACACGTGGATAAGTGAAATGCGGGGTAGATCACGATGGGAGGAGATCGGAACCAACTGTACGGGGAGGGTACAGGATTTTCAGTATGATACCAAAAAATCAGTATAAAAAATCTGCCTGGAGATGATCGAGATGCACAACGAGCGCACTACGGATGCACTACGGATGGTGCACAGCGCGGTTAAATCTCGCCAGTTTTCTGCGCACGCAGCGACCGCCTGGAAACAAAGGCAGCAAATGCTATCTACAGTGCTCTCGCGAGGTCCACAAGGGCAAAAAAACCTTTTTCTCTCTCGCGTCGGCAACTCACACTCTCTGTTCACACTCTGTGCTGTTCCACACCCTCTCTCTTCAACCTCTTTCCATCGTCAAGGAAGAAAGGGAACCGGGCTACAACATTCAAGTCACGGGGGGACGGCACTCCGTTCAACTGCCAACATTGAGCCGCCCATAAAGCTTTTTAATCTGTAGAGGCCCAGGCGCAAAATGTGAAGGCAGCAAAATCCACGGTCCTTGCCCAAAGTGAGCACACCAGTAGCAAGACGAAAACGACCAAAACCTTCTATCCCTACTCTGGGTATCGCGGTCGGCGTTTCTCAGCGCTCCCCTTTCAACCCTCTCTATGCTATGATCTGTTCAGCGACAGCGTCCGTCTGACTCGATTCCCGCGACTTCTCGGCGTCTCCGCAAACTGGCGCTCGTCGTTTACGGCCTCCGACGCCCTCCTCTGCCTGGGCGTGAGCGCGAACGCAGAGAACACCCGCAGGCGCATCCCCGACAGCCGCGGGGGCCGCTTCGCGTCGCGTCGGGCGGCGCGCTCGGGCACCGGTTTCCGTCGCTCCTTGGGCACGGCTTTCAACTTGGCGCCGTTCGCCACGCAGACTTTAATCACAAATAGCACCACCAGTATGCACTTCCTCCACCGCAGCCGGGCCTCCCGTCGCGAGGTGTGCCGCGGGCTGTCGCTGAGCCCGGAGAGCACCAGGTCCTCGCCGACGCCCAGGTGCAGTAGGCTCGAACCCTCGCCGACGTCTACAGTATCGCTGATGAAGCCCCCTTCCAGACGCGCTGCGTAACGGTTCATGGTCTGATTGTGGTGCTGGTCGTACGGGCTGACGGGGGAGCTCATGTTCGTCTCTGCGTCGGTCCCTGCCGTGGTCGCCCCCTCGATCCAGGGGTGGTGCAGCGCGGCCTTCGCGGTGAGTCTTCTCTGCGGCTTGGCTTGCAGTAGGGCGCGAATAAAGTTCTTGCACATGATCGACGTGTCAGCCCACGCTGGCTCGTCGAATGAGATCCACCCTTCCAGCGCGAGGTTCATCGTCGCCTCGTCGTCCTCGCCGGCGTCGAACGGGTACGACCCGCACAGCATGCGGTACAGCATGACGCCGACAGCGTAGATATCCACCGGACACCCGTACGGCTTATGGTTGATAATCTCCGGCGCGACGTAGACCGGCGTGCCCACCAGCGAGCGCAGGCATGCGTCGGTGTGGTCGTTGACAAAATTGACGTACCCAAAGTCCGCAACACGCACATTCCTGGCGGGGATGGTAGCCGTCTCGCAAAGGACGTTCTCGAGTTTGATATCGCGATGCACAATGCCTCTGGCATGCAGGTACTGCAGCGCGGTGAGGACCTGGCGAACAATGCCGACGGCCAGATGCTCCGGGATACGCCCCCCCACCGCCTGCACGTTCTCCTTCAACGTACCGCCCTTCATCCAGTCGAGCACGAGCATGACGTAGGTCTGCGAATTAAAGACGTCGTGGGTGCGCACGACGGCGGGGTGGTCGGTGACGCGCATGGCGTACATCTCGCGCTCGAGCTCGCGCGCCATCTGCATGTCGAACTGCTTCTTCTTGATGCGCTTGACTGCGTACTGGCGGCCGGTGCGTTTCTCCGTGGCGCTGTGGACGCTGGCGAAGGCGCCCTCGCCGATCTTCTGGTCGAGGGTGTACAGGGCGTCAAAGTCGCGCGCGGCCTGCTTGTCGACGGCGGCGGCCCAGGCGGCGGCGGTGGGGGAGTCGACGAAGAGCAGGTTGAAGACGGAGCCGGAAGGGAGCGTGAGCAACACGACGGGGCGGCGCGAGGACTTGGAGGCGGCGGCGCGTAGGAGCGAGATGTCCCACTCGACAGGGGCCTTGGGCGAGGCGTGGGCCGACACGACTTGGCCGATGAGCTTCAGGAAGAGGCGGCGGCGCTTCGAGAAGGCGCGCCGCTTGACCCAGGCCCAGGCGGACAGGTCCGCCAACTCGGAGGAGGAGGGCGGGGCGGGCATGGGGGGGACCGGGTGGGGTGTGGGTAGGGGGGTCGGGGGTGTTAGGTGGGGTGTATGCGGGCGGGGGGAATTGGGTGTGTTTGTACGAGG